AAAAAAAAGTTTACTAAACATTCCGATTATAATATTTCCGCAATTCAAGCCTAATTTCCTTCTTTCTTCTTTTTCAAACCATCGATAATCCGTAAGCGAACTTTTATTTAATTGTATGGTATGTTCAAACAACAACTGTAAACACAGAGTAATTCTGTTCGGACCTTCAACAATCAACCTCCTTCTTCTTGGTATTATATATATGCATTCTTTTTTTTTTTTTTTTTTTTGCTCCCACTCCAACTCCTGCTTCAGCTCCTGCCGCTGCTGATCCTGTTGCTGACAGATGAGTAAATTTTTTTTTTTTTACAGCTTTATTCACTGTGTTTTTTTTTCCCCAGCGTTATAATACACTTAAATCTTTCAACAATTTTTTTTTTTTTGTTTGATTTTACCTTCTCAAGTACAGTTTACAACATTTTTCCAGCATACTATTCGCTTCAACTTTACCCTGATACTCCCACATTTTACCCACCACATTATCCATTCTATATACAACAACAACACACCTATTAATAATGATTACTTGCCGTTCATATTAATCCCGTAACAAATTTCAAGAAAACAAAAAAGACGACTGACTTTCACAAATACATAATACACACAATATTTGACACGTTATAAATTTAAAATATAACATTTATTAGATCAAAAAATGAAATATTTAGTAAAAAAGCAGAATGAAAATAAGGCTTGGAACCGCTCCCTATAAAACGTCTTCTAACTCTTCAATTATTCATTTACGCAACAATGACCTTAACTCAACATTTAAAAGCTTCGTATATGCATACACACACAATTATATATGAACACCTCATCAAAACCCCCCATTCTAACTGTTTATATGTGATGTAGTTTGCAATCTGCACTTCGTTGTCAGCTAATTACTGTTAAATAACATTTGATACTTTTTAAGGGACTTCAGGAACGAGTCAACAGTACACTAACGGTGCCCAATACAGCGCTCCATCGACAGGAACATCTTCAAATGGGTACACATCAGGTCAGCTGAGCCAAGGGCAATCCTTTGTCGGTAGTCAACAAGAAGCGTCTGCTAGTGCGATACAAAATGGCGCACAAAGCCAAATCGCGCTTGGTTCTTCTGGCACCGGCACTCAAAACGCCTACGATACCGGTATGAGCGCTGCAGGCGCACAACAACAGAGTTCATCCAGCTCTGTACCCGGGTATTTGCCAGATTACCGAGGCGATCAGCAAACCAACGCACAACGAATTCAAGAAACACAAGAGCTAAACAGACCTTTCTTCCAATCTATCGGTGGCGAACCGATTTATTCTGGAGGAGTAGCCTCTTCTTCCTCAGCTTCCCAACCATCTGCTTCCTCAACTGGTGCAAATTTTTCCTTCGTTTACCCATTAAAAAAAATATTGCCACAGTCAACCAACACGTATGTTGTAAACAGCCAGTGTTCTTCGTCAAAAAAACCAATTTGTCAAGTTTACAATACTTATCAAAAGTATTTTAAACACAGTTAAGAACCAGGCATACGTGATGTTGTGGCTTCACTTAAGCACATTCCTTAATTGCTTTCATCCAGCAGCACTTGACTACTTTTTTTCTCCCACTTAAAACACTTGTTATTTATTAACCCGTCTTCAAACAAATTTCTTTTATAGCTTAACCATTTGCACTGATCTACTTAATTTTTATTATCCTTTCTGCTTATAGAGGTGATGATCTATATTCTAGCAGAAGCTGCTTAACAAACCGTTTAGCACGAAACGATCATAGGGTCCAAAAACAAAAAATAAAAATAAAAAAATTGTAACTGCCAAAATGAAAGTTAGTTACCGTCAAGAAGCACCTCAGTGACCCTTATGACGGAAACCAAGATGATGTGTGGTAGCGCATCATTTCATCCAAACAAACTCTAAGTTTTTTTTTGCTCAGTAAAATAGACAAAAAAAATCTTTAGCAAAAATTATTCTCTTCATTCAGCGACTACCTTTTCTTTTATTACTTTCTTCTCGTCTTTCTAAAATTTAAAATTAAATCTACTTCTCCGTTTAACAGAGTAAAATTCCTAAATAAAGTAAATAATATAAAATAAAGAATAACGTTTTTTTTTGCTAAAAGGGATTTTTAGGATCAGCAAATGCGCCACAGACTGTTACAAGTAACACTTATGGAGGTTACACTTCAGGCAATGGTTATGGTTATGGTTACACCAATACTGCGTACTATAGTCCCAGCAGCTCGTCTGGAACGAATGGTTACAGCTATGCCGCCCCTAGTTATGGTATACCTTATTCTTATAGTAATGATCAAACCGTATACAATACAGCGGGATATCGCGGTGCTAACAATTTACCGCCTGTCCAGCAATATACGACAACAGTGACACCACAGAGGACTAGTGTAGTCAATACACAGCCTTATTACGCCAGTACATTACCGAACTATGTTGGGGGTCAACCATATTATGATTCACAAGGGCAACAAATTGGTACCTACGGGTACAATCCAAATGCACCTCGTATTTCTTCAACTTTAGCATCTGCAACACTGACACCACCGACAACAACAACAACAAATGGATTTGGTAGTTATTCGGGTGTTACTGCACAACCACTGTATACCAGTGACGGTACCTACGGTACAGGTACACCAACCTCAACATATCCATATTCCAGTACCCCTTACGCCACAACGGCGTCACCTCTCTACACAAATACTGGAACCAATGGGCAGTATGGAACAAGTGGTGGTTATGAAACCACACCTTTCCTTTATACTACATCTTACGCTCCATACTCTACAACAGCTGCATATAGGAGAAGATCTGTTCCGCAGAAACAGAAATAAATGCCTAGAAAGTCGTTGAGTAAAAACTGTGCTA